CACACACACTACTGAAAACTTCTGGCCTTGCACACACACTACTGAAATAATCTCACATTCACTAGTCCTCCAACTCATACGACCAAATAGGTCGATTGTTCAGCAGCTTATTACGACCTATAGTCACGTTTTAAAGTTTAGCACCTCTAGTGGTAGTGTAAACAACCATTTGGGGCAATTGCAAACGCTCCGGAGGGTCGTATATTCACAAATAACCCTCTCTGGAAAATCCCAAATTGTAGAATAGTTTGGCCATTAAAATGCTTTTTGATTAGATTTCTAGCAAGAAGTGTATATTGTACTTTTAGAATCCACGTCCAGTGGTTGTGTAGGATCTATAGTTTGATAGATATTACGAAGATGATTTGAGGTCTCGCCAGGAGAACGTGTATGTCTTTCCCCCTATGCAAAGTTAGCGTCAATCCTCACAGGGTGAAAACAGTATTTCCGGTCTCGAAGTTTTCATAATAAAACCGTATTCCCCTCACTGTCAAATTATTTCACAGTGATATTGTTGTGTTAAAAATTCTAGGAAAGACAAACGATTTCTAAGTTTAACTATTTATTATGAGAGAGCAAAATATATATATTCACTTGGCCAAGGACTCCGTTATGTCATAGAAAAAATTACAGGCAGCAAAGCTGTAATCTGTAACCACTATTTCCGGAAAAAGAGCACCGAACCTTGTGCGTGCATACATTTTTATTACACAGGGCATTGTCCGTACATTTATGATTGGTCAAGACTAGCTGAAGAGATACCGTGGTTTAGACTTGGTTCTCTTTGGTAGGTGCGCAGACTCAGATAGAGTCTCTTGGCAAAACGGCCTTCCAATCAGCATTCGGCCGGCCTGTGCCCTACTCTGGCACCATCATACGTAATTTGTTTTCGCTAACGTTTCTACAGAAAAAGTGGAATCTTCATAAGGCTGCTTCCTAGCTATGTGTGGGAGTGTAGCTCCCATACAACTCAAGGCTGGAGTGATGTCCTGTTTATGAATAACTCTTTGTATTCTTCCAGTGTCTGCACCTGACCTTGCTACTCTGTATTGCAGGCTAAAGATGTCTATTTATTCCAAAGTCACAGCCACATAAAATGAGCACAATAAGCTTATAATGTAATAATAAGAATCAGTCTTTCTAATGTTATATAAAAATAGCCTCCACAATATCTGTTGTACTCATCCACTAAAACACATCAGTTTAACCTTGTTAATTACAACATTAATTGGTTACACTGCTTTTATATTTTTCCCTTTCGCTTCTGAGAGACACACATTTATTTTTTCAGAGGTTTTGATAGGCTAAAACATTGAACTACCCATGATCCTCAGCTATCGTTGAAGCTCGGTGATTGGATGTTTTAGCCGCAATGCACGTTGGGATATGGTGTTTTTGTGATGTGAAATCTTAAAACATTTAGGTTGATTGTTCAAGCGCTTATTACGACCTATAATCACGTTTTAAAGTTTTCGACCTCTAGTGCTCCCGTTGACTGCAAACGCTCCGGTGGGTCGTATATTCACAAATAACCCAGCTAGAAATATTTGGTCCTAAAAACATTCTGAGAATGTTAGTCATTGTTCTCGGAAGGTTTTCAGCGGGAAGTTTTTGTTTGTTTCCCAGAACGTTCTTCTGAAAGGTAGGATAACGTTCTCTAAAAACATTCTTCAAATGTTTTTGCTAACATTGTTAGAACATTATGCCGTACTGTTCTTAAAACATTTTTCAGCTGCAAGTTAGATTTGTTATGTTGCCAGAATGTTATTATTTTAGAGAAGGATAACATGCTTTATGTTAAAAAAAAGTATGCAAATGTTCTGTGGTAACAATTTACTAAAATATGTTTACATTATTAGAACATAAAGACATAATATTCCTGTAATTGTTCAACTCAAAATTCCTGGGTAAGTGGACTGACCACTGTGGTCATTAGGATGATTTTGATAATTTACTTAACTATTGGAATTTGACTATTAGTAAAAGGATGACTCGGAATCAGCTGGTGAGCGTAACATTTGTTTATTAGAAAAGGGGAGCTGGGAGTGGAGGTTGGTTATGGCAGCAGTGGGAAACAGTTGTTCCAAGGTGGAGAGGCCTGGCTGGTCTTGGGAGTGTGGAAGGCCTTGGATTCCTCCTGGGAGAGACACAAAAATGAGTGCGAGGCAAAAGCAGGCAAAGTTGTCAAAGAATATGCTGGTAAAAAGGTAGAGCGGCACGCAACAAACCGTTCACGGCAACAATCCGGCAGGGAATGAGTGCAGGCTGCAGGCTTTCATAGTGTGGCTGATGAGCAGGTTGCAGATGTGGTTGATTGGAGATTGCTCCCAGCCATGTAGAGCAGACCAGCAGGCAGGTGGGGGGGGGCACTAACCCACTAACAGGGGTTTCAGGGACGGGCAGTGATAGTCGGTCCATTCTTCTAAATGTATGTCTTTGGTTTTCTAAGTGTTATTCGATCCATATGACCATAGAGATATGAGCATAAACAACAAAAACACTTGGGGTATAATGTTCGAACAATGTTATCACCAAACATTTTAAGAATGTTTTTAGAGAACGTTATCCTACCTTTCAGAAGAACATTCTAGGAACCAAAATAAAACTTCTCGATGAAACCATTCCTAGAACAACGAATGGTAACATTCTCAGAATGTTTTTAGAACCAACAATGTCTAGCTGGGAACTCAGACATGCCTACGCAAACGTGCAATATCATGAATTACGTGCTTGTTCTTTTCTAAAAACGAAAATGTGGTGACATCAGATTTCTTTTAAACATCCTTTTCAAACAAATGCAGCAAGTTTGTTTTTTAAAGCGCACTACAAATAAATCTGACGTTGACCATGACCCTGTTAATATTTCGCATCACAGGAACATTTGATAAAAAAAGAATAACCTCCTGAAAACATTATCCAAATGTTGCTTTCAAAATGTTCTTCTTTGGTTATCATGTAACATTGAGGGACCGTTTTATAAAGAACATCTTTAATGTGTTACCCCAACAACGTCCAAAACACATCCTTAGAATGTTGCAGGCAAAACGTTCCACCTTTGTTAACATATCACATTGAAGGCACATTTTATAAAACAACTTTCTGTCATCTCAGGCCTCAATAACATCCTGAAAACATTTGCAGAATGTTGCAGTTAAAACGTTATGTCTTAGTTAACCTTAAACCTTATAGGAACATTATTTGAAAAAATAAACATCCTAAAAAGGTTCTTTGAACATCAGATTAAAACGTTTCTTTAAAACCTTATTAGAACCAATAGGTAACGTTAGCCAACGTTGTGAGAACGTTCCCCGCTAGCTGGGAACCCTCTCTGGAAAATCCTAAATTGTAGAACAGTTTGGCCATAAAAATACTTTTTTGATTCGATTTCTAGCGAGAAGTGTATATTGTACTTTTAGAATCCACGTCCAGTGGATGTGTAGGATCTATAGTTTGATAGATATTACGAAGATTATTTGAGGTCTTGCCAGGAGAACATGTATATACTACGTCTTATATGTATATGTAAACAAGAACACCTCCATAGACCAGACCGTCTCAGTTTGTAAACTGCTCGGTCCAGGGTCCAGCCTACGGCTGCGGTGCCGTTTCTCTATAAATCCATGCTGAATTGGACCTTCTGTTTAATTCTTCTTCTTAGAGAGTAGAGGAGAATTATCGCCACCTACTGTATCACTGCAGCATTGTTCTTTGTTACTTCCGTTTCATTACAACGACTTCCGTTACAGCAAGAATCCCCCTCACACACATAGGTGAAACACATGCACATTCCCTACTGAGAACTTTTCAATAAAATGTTTTCAGGAGTGTGTGTGTGTGTGTGTGTGTGTGTGTGTGTGTGTGTGTGTGTGTGTGTGTGTGTGTGTGTGGTTTTCAGTAGTGAATGTGAGAGTATTTCAATAGTGTGTGTTTGAGGTTAATTTTCAGTGTGTGTGTGAGGTTAATTTTCAGTAGTAAGTGTGTGAGGTTTAATGTTCAGTTGTGTGTGTGTGAGGTGTTCACTAGTCAATGTGAGATGTTTTCAGTAGTGTGTGTGTGTGCGAGGTTAGTTTGAATTTTGGCCCTTCATATCTGGGAGGTTTTGTGCGCGCTCCCGCGAGGTGCAGTGGGCATGCATAACACCGGCGCTAACAGTTAGCGAGCGTGCGTCTCCCCCTCCGTTGACAGTTCACGAGCATGCTTTCTCTCTCTCTCCCCCCCCCCCCCCCCGTTAGAGTTGTGTACAATTGTTTTCATAATTTTACATGAAGAAATGTATTTTGTATATGTATAAGATCTGTTACGGAATCATACAAATAAGATGCATTCAACCCATATACAGTGGAGATAGCAATGAGTGAAAAAGCGGAAAAAACAAATTGATGAATCACTTAAAGGGTAAATACAAAAGTTCAAATTTAGGACTCAACAAAGTTTGTTTATGTGTGCTAAAATTATCAATTGTGTTATATTAACAGAAGAGGTTTAGGTTAAGTTGTTTTATGGGATCTGACCAAAAGTACATTTAGAAATTCTGAGGAAAAAGTCAGAATTTTGACTTAAAAATTCTCACTTTAACGACCTCACAATTTAGATTAGTTTTCCCTCAGAATTCTTACTTTAATTTCAAAATTCAGATTGTTTTTTTCTCAGAATTCATCAAAAACTAAATCACTTTTCGTCAGATCTCAGAAAAATCTGCCCTAATATTCAAATCGCAGGACGCGCAATATTTGTTTTGTGGTGCTGCAGAGATGTCCCTGCCTATAAATTGTGTTCTACAGATTTAAGAAAATGTCTGATCATTTAAAATATATCTTTCAATGATAATGAGAATAACGATGCAAAAATTATCCATCTTTTCAGCATTGTGAATCATTTAACAATTGATCACATCGTAATTTTTTTTCCAAATCGTGCAGCTCTAATTTGCTAGAATATTTTGAGTTTGTCTGTGTTTCTGAGTTCTTGTCTTTTGACATGTTGATTGTCTGTGTGTTCAGGGAGGGAACTCTGCGCCCCGGGGATCGTCTCCTCAGCGTGGACGGCGTCCCGCTGCACAACGCCAACCACTGCGACGCCCTCAGCGTGTTGGCTCAGTGTGGCCAGGAAGCCCTGTTCCAGATAGAGTATGACATCACTATCATGGGTGAGACACACACACACACACAGTGCCGATTATTGAGTCTGTGGGGGCCCTAGGCAAACATTCACTGGGGGCCCCTCAAACCAGCTTTTCATCACCACGTTGCGTTGCCAACATTTGCCCTGTCTTAAAAAATACCTCATGCCTGCACCACGCTATTTAAAATTGGATGTGTTGGTATTGTCTGTCACCTCAGGCTGAGCTCTGCCTTTTTTTGGGTAAAACTGCTCAATTTAACTTACCAGAATGCATTAAGAATCCCTCGGTCATCACTTCTGATAGTCGTTGCTTTCAAAGGCATTTTTGCCTCAAGCTGGTGTACTATTAATGTTGGTGATACAGAATGTAAAATGTAACAGAATGTTGTTCTGTCATATCACAGGAGCATCAGATCAGAGTTAAGAGCATAATGATTCATTTTGATTTTCCCACTCAGACACAGTAACGAATGCCTCCGGACCGCTGTTGGTGGAAATAGTGAAGTTGCCAGGAGCAACGCTGGGCATCACGCTGACATCGGCCAATCATCGGAACAAGCAGGTCATCGTCATCGACCGGGTTAAACCTGGCAGCGTGGTGGACAGGTACAGACACACACACACACACACACACACACACACACACACACACACACACACACATACATACACACACACACACACACACACACACACACACACACACACACACACACACACACTCAGACACTCAAACAAACACACACATATATTTTCACATGTGCAAATGTGCTGCAGTTTGACCTTGATAAATTCAAGATTAGATAAATCCCAAGTTGTTAAGAGTCAATGCTCAAGGTTTGAACATAGTTTTTATTCTGCTTCTGGTTTTTAATTCTCAGGCTACAGGCAGGCTGAATGTGGTGAAGGTCACATGAAGCCAGAAAGAAACTCTTAGTGCATATGGATTCACAGCGCCATTACCATATTCTCCTAAAACCACATTTTACATCAAACAATGCTAAAGTAGTAAAGGACAGCACTTTATGAAAGTAAATGTGATTCAAATGATGGTTAAATGCATTAATATTAAGTCAATCTGCCTTATTTATTCATGTTAATCTTATATCATATATAGTTGTTGTGTTAAGCTTGATTAGAGGCAGAGGGCCTGACAAAAAGCTCTGTAACAAAGAGGAATGTGTGATATAAATATGTTTGACTGCAAGTAGCATTTTTTTGTTCAAGAAGCTCATGTCTTGCTTATGACCCTTCCCAATTCTGAAACCTGTGCAGTAGTCTTACATACTGTGTATGCAATGTATTCTCCCTCTCTTGTCCGGCAGTGGCTCAGTCAGTAGGGGCTTGGACTGTGAGAGGACGTGCGTGACTTTGGTCTCAAGAGGAAAGAAGTGAATTGTTTGTTTTGTGGATCTCTTTTGTTTCGTCAAACTTATAGTTGTATTTTTTTTTTGTTCTGAGTCCCCCCCAAACGGCCTTGCTGGCTGGGGGTTTCCCCCGACCTGTGTGTTTTTTTCGATCGGATGGATAAACTGGCAAAGAAAACGGGAATGGATTTATCAACTGCGTCACGGATCACGGACATTGACACACTACAGCAGAGTGCGGAGAAGGACGGGACATCTGTGAATGAAAGAGGAAAGGACAGAGTGAGTTGATTGTGGAGGAGGAGAAATATAAAAAGGAGCTGACAGTGGTGGTGGCGGTGGAGAGTGGGAAAGCAGTGGTAACTGTTATGGATCTGCTAAAAGGAGTTAAGAAAGAACGTGGGATTGTGATGGGATGTCGGGTTAAAGGAGATGGGCTATATGAAGTGACAATGGCTGAAGAAAAAGGAACAAATAAACTGTTGGATGGAATAAGAATCAATGGGGCTTTGGTGCGGGGCAGAGACTGCATGGCAAAATAACTCACGGTGTCATTCCTAAATATACCTTCGTATATATTGGACACTACAATTAAAGGCAGATTGGCAATGTGGGGGGTTCTGCCTGTATCGGCAATAATGAGAATAATGTGGCCCGGCACTGATGTGGTTGATGGGACGAGGTTTCTGAAAGTGGAGTTCAACAAGGAAGTGCGGTCACTTCCGTACTCCACAAGGTTCGAGACTCTAGAGGGGCCGGAATACTTCAGGGTGATTCACGACAAGCAGGTACCGGTCTGCAGGATGTGCATAAGGCCAGGGCATTTATACAAAGAATGCGCTGAGTTTAGATGCCATAAATGTGCCAAGCAGGGACACTATGCCCGGGACTGTGTGACTCGGGAGAAGGGGGCGAGCGGAGCCAGGGGGAGAGAAAGTGCCCAGGCGGAAAACAAAGCGGAGAATGGAATGGAGGAAGAGGAGGGTGGAAGTCAGGAAGAGAGTGAAGAAGAGGATATACGTGATAAGGCTGGGAGCAGGATAAACGAGGAAGCTGTGGCTGCTGTCGCGGCGGTGTTTGTGGCGGCTGCTGCAAAGAGAGCAGCTGACGCGGCTGCCATGGATGGTGGAGGAGACGGAGGGAGGAAGAAGGGGAAAGCAGACGAAGGAAAGATGTGTAGTAGCAGAGCCAATACTGCTGCTGTTCCGGCTGCTGCGGATGATGGACAGAATGCGAGGAGTGGTGAAGGTTTGGCTGAGACTGAAGTAGAGGCTGTGGTGGATGTTATTCTGGGGGCAGAAAACTGATACCGAGGCTGAAGAGGACGTTGAAGGTGAACCTGATCCTGAGGCTGGAGGAGGAGCTGTCGGTGGGAGGAGAGGAGGAGAAGGAGAAGGAGGCGGAGGACAGACGGCTGAGGGAATGGAGGTCAGCTCGGTTGTGATGGAGGAGGGAGGAGACGACGAGGAGAACGAGTCTGAGGACGAGGAGGTGGAGATGAAAGGACCCATAGAGGAGAAGATCTTTGGCGAGGCGAATGCTGGGTTAAAGAGCAGAGGAATGAGGAGAGAATCTAGCAGGCTGAATGCAAAGAGGAAAGCCGATAAGGAGAAAGCGGTGGAGAGAAGACGGGTGAAAGCGACAGGAGAAGTTGCAAAGTGTCCGGACAAAAAATAAATAGAATGAAAACAATAATAACCTTAATAACACTTGTAATGGTGACAATTTCCTCTTTCAATGGAAATGGGCTGAGGTCCAAGGACAGGAGAGAGCAGGCCTTAATGATATGTGACTCAGACATTATTTGCTTGCAAGAGACACATTGGGATGAAAGGTGTGTGGAGGATGTAAGGAAAGAATGGATGGGAGAAATGTATGTAAATAATGGGAGTGTGGGTGCTAGAGGGGTGGCAATATTAATTAAAACAGGGGTGGTAACGAATATAAGGAAAGTTGAGGATGATGGTGTTGGGAGAATGGTTGGGATAATGTTTGAATGTATGGGGGAAACATTTATGTATAAATGGTTAAAAGGGGATGTGATTAGAAGACCTGCATCAGAAAAAGTGTGGATGAGTGTTGTGAATGGTATGACTGGCAGGAGAATGTGGGAGAATGTGAAAATGAAGTGGAACAGTATTGAATGTGATAATTTTTATTTTTTGTTGAGGCATAATAGGGTGTTTAACAACCTGATCATTAGCCATTTTGATGCAACTGTTGAGAGAGAGTGTGATGTGTGTAAGGATCAGGTTGAAACGTGTTTGCATGAGTTTGTTGAATGTAAAGAGCTTGTTTGTTTTTTTGGAAGGATGAAAGAGTTAATTGGTAGATGTTGGAATGAATGGTATGTGAGAGAAATGGAATGGAAGGAGCTGTGGCTGTTTGGTGTGATTGAGAAGAAGGATGAATGCAATGTGAATCTTTTAAATTATGTTCTGAGCCATGCAAGGCGTGCGGTCCAAATAAGGAGGAACATTGCCCATTTCGAGGGTAAAATGTCAGAGGTGTGGCATATAATGAAGAGGACAGTAAAAAGGGACATTAACCTTGTGCTAATACATGTGGAAAAGGACTCATTTTGCGAGGATTTTGTGGATGGCAGCAGGCTAATTGAGATGGATGAGGAGGGAGCATTGTGCTTCAACTTTGAACGGAAAACTTAAGGCACACTACCTTTAAGCTAGTGATATGAAAAATTGAATGTGGGTATTATGAGCAATGCTTTATGTAGTTGTGATGAGATGTTAAATGTCTATTTTTGATAATAAAAGAGAAAAAAAAAAAGTAGGGGCTTGGACTGTGAGCTGTAGGGTCGCCGGTTCAAGTCCCCGACCCGACCTAAAAGATATGGAGTGTGGACTGCTACCTGGAGAGGTCCCAGTTCACCCCCTGCCCTGCCGTGGTGCCCTTGAGCAAGGCACCAGACACCCCCCTTCCCCCCTCACTCCCATTGCTCCCCGGGCGCTGTACAATAGCTGCCCACTAGCTGCCCACTGCTCCTAGTACTAGACTCCTGGTACTAGGATGGGTTAAATGCAGAGGCCAAATTTCACTGAGTGTGCTGTGTCCATGTGTGACCAATAAAAGAGGGTTTCATCCCTCCCAATTCTATTATATTCTCTCTAACACACTTGCACGCACAGACAGATCTAAAATAACCAACTGAACAGGTATACTGCACACAGAAAGGTATTCAAACAGAACCAAAACGAGGCGAAGTATTCCTGGAATGGCAAATCAACGGTATTTCCTTCTCCTGTGTTTTGTTGTGATAAGATACCGTAGTCCTTATTGTCCCTGTGTCTGTGTTGTTCCAGATGTGGAGCGTTGCATGCTGGGGATCATCTGCTCTCCATAGACGGGACGTCGACAGAACACTGTACGGTCCTGGAGGCAACACAGCTCATAGCAAGCACATCAGAACTGGTGAAACTGGAAATCCTCCCCTCCTATCAAACAAGACTGACTGGGAAACAGCACGACACAGGTGGGTCAAAAGTTTTCCAACTTTACTTATTGATGTGGACCTTGGGTCTCCTCAAGTTTTTGGTAAAGTAATTAACGAATGAGTTAACATCTACAATTATAATACATAAGAATAGCATCAAACCAGTTGTGTGAGCAATCGTCACAATTTCTAAAAATAACAGTTTTTTTTTTTAAATAATAAAACCCATAGTATAATAATCCCCAAACTTCCAATCCAATCCAAACAACTTCTATGTTGTGAAAATAGGCAATTAGCAGTACAGAACTACCTGGTAAGGTTACAGGTCCCATGGCATGGCCATTTCTACTGATCATAATTCCATTGTTGAGGTGTACTAGAATAGATTTACATTGTTCAATGTTCCAAACTCACATTGGTTTCTCATACAGCATCTCTCTATAGTATGTGTATTTACTGTCTGTCCTAAACGGCTTGTTGGAGCCCCCCCCCCATCCCTATGAGCCCACTGTGCTCTGATTGGTCAGCTCGCCCACTCTGTTCTGATGAGTCCACCACCGTTACAGCGGAACATCAGTGATTATGTGTTACAATGGCGTTTGTTAGCAACCAGAAAATGACACCAGTAATGACAAACAGATGAGAATGCTGCGTGGGGTCTGGGTGCCGTGTTGGCGGGACGTTGCGGGGCTCGCTGCTGCGCCAGTGTGAGCTGTATTACTGGTGTTGTTTCCTGGTTGCGACACGGTGAAACTCATCCTAAGCACACACACACACACACAGCCGAAGTAAAAACAATAAGTGTGGCTTGATATTGAGTAAGAAAAAGGTTTATAACGCTGTGAGAATGGGTCTGCGGAGAGCATTTCTCCATCATCCCAACTCGTCTATTACCAGCATTCAGGGAGCTCTATGCAAGTCAATGGGACTCCCTGATAGTTGAAAATGTACGCTTAAGGGCCCCCACTGTGTTTGATAGTGACGCTAAGGGATCCTGGTGTGTGAGGAGCTATACCCGTTACGTGACTATACCCAGGAAGAATACATTGAAAAAGAGAAATGTCCAACGAGGCGTTTTGGGGCAGCATAGACAGGTATTTTCTGTGTTAGAGTTTTACTCGCTACAAGGTGTACTTTGAGGGTTTGTGACTTTGCAGACCGTTTACATGCATAAAAAGCTACATAACACACAAGGGGACAGGTAATAACCAGAAAAGCATGACATGGGCCCTTTAATTGTGGTTTGGATAAAACAAATCTAGTTGTGACATTGCCAGGCATAACACAAGCACGTTAACATATACGACAATGTTAACATTTACTGCCTTTTGAACGTCATGTGTTTTTTGACACATGCACCCTCACCTCCCACTGCCATACGCATCATTTCTGCCATCGTCTGCTGAATAATTTGCTATCATCATAATTACTACTGCTACTAGAGGTTGTGATTAATTCAAGCGTAAATATGGGTCGTAATATGCTGCTGGTAAAAACGCACAACTTTTGGCCCCTTTTAAAAGGCTCACATCAGGTCACAGTGTTGATGTGGATACAGTACATTGGCTTTCTTACATTTTTTCCCTGGGATATTAACCCTTTCACCAGCTAAGGCAACCTGTTGCACATAATGGACATGTTTTATAAGGTCAACACTGAAAGCTACATTTTTACTTTTTACTTTCATTATCACTCATTCATCATTACTTAGCCTCATCCACTACAGCATTCATGTAAAATGAGAGAAAAACTCATTACTAATTACTAAGCAGAGGTGGGAGTAAGTCTTACATGTGCAAGTCATGAGCAAGTCTCAAGTCTTGACCTACAAGTATCAAGCAAGTCCCAAGTCACTGTGGTGAGAGTCAAGCAAGTCAAGTCAAGTCATACGAACTTCTGATGAATAAGCCCAGTTTCCGCATTTAAATCAGTTAAAAGACAGTGGTTATGAAAATGGATTCCGCCCACACTATGATCTTCATTACATACACAGTTAATCATTTGAAATCTAATTTAGACCGATGACAATCATATTAGATTCATATTAACCCTAGAACTGCGGACAATATAGCTCGGACTCAAAAAGTCTGTTCAAAAAGGCAGAATTCCAGGTAAGAAAATCATAGATGGCATTTGCCATTACACATATTTAATTTAAATTTCTGTTAACACTAGAACCGCCAACAGCGTCAGCGCCTACTGTACATAGATATCATTTTCAAATCATTTAATTTGTTCCTCTTCATCATTTCCTTATAAACTAAGTAGGACGATTTAAAACTCACTTAATTGGGTTCATTTAGAAATTGCTTCAGTTTATCATCATAACAGATCAAAAAGTTCAGATTCATTTTACAATAAATCAAGGAATGATGCACTTCTACAAACAAAAACAATATAATTAAAACATTTAAACAAACTACTAAAAGTAGATGAACTACATTATTCAACAGTTTACAGTAACTTCTGATAATAACACAGGGGAAATAAACGAGGCATCTCTTTTCCTCTCTCTCCCTCTCCTGACAGCCTGTCACTATCAGGGTTAGTAAAAATGAATCCCTTGGAGGTTCTAGTGTTAATTTACCGTTTTGACTTCTCTTTGCAATGCTTAATCGATATGAAACCAAGTCTAACGTAGCTTAAACTTAACGTTAGCATTCTAGCTAACACAACACATGCACGCACCTTTCTCTGTGGGTTGTTTTGTAGTGACGAATGAAGTTGGATGTTGTGGTGGTCGTGTCACTGATCTTTATGCTGCAGACCCTGCATACCGCTGTTCTCTTCTTATTACCGTCACCGACAACATAATCCTTGAATCCAAACTTCACTATTTGTGGAGTAAAGCTAGCCGCTGCCATGTTAACTGACACTGCTGCCGTCTAGTGGGTTGCCAGGTTTGCGCACACGGCACTATAATCACCCAATCACGTTTAAAAAAACTAAACGTAATATCTCACTACAAAAACAAATGCAAATATTTCATTTTAAACAGTCAAGTCCTTTCAAGTCATCTGTCTCAAGCTTAAGTCAAGTCTCAAGTCATGAATACCAAGTCAAAGTCTTTAATCAATGTTAGTCAAGCAAGTCTCAAGTCAAAAAATATGCGACTCGAGTCTGACTCGAGTCAAGTCATGTGACTCGAGTCCCCACCTCTGCTAATTAGTGAAACAAAGTCAAAGCCGCAGCAGGTGGCTGTTGTCTGGTGAACTAGCAAACACACGATGCTGTCCATCTATCATCCTCACCGTCGTCTCACATCGGCTCGTTGTTTAAGAATTCAGCAGCCATATGTTGATTTTGTGGCACTTTAATTCGTTTTTTTACAATAGTAGATGGATTTTGCACACAAATGTGTCATGAATCATAAAGTCATGAATAACAAAAACAAGAACATTTGGATCTGGGAATTCGCAAAAAATTATTCTTGGCATAAACCATTTTTCACTTTTTTCAGGGTGTGGTCATTTGTTGAGTTATATCTTAACTGCATGTTGTAATGAGTCTGTACTGAACCCATCTGTTTATATGTTTAGAGTTGGTACAACTTTACATTAAAGCCATTTTATGTATATGCTTCGTCAAAATGTTGTCCTGAAGTGACCTTTAAAAACTAATTGTAATAATTGTTGAATTTTGTCTGTGGTTTCGCAACCTGGCAGTCTAAATCTGTTCATACTGTAGGTATAAATACTCTGAGAAATGACCTGAAAGGGACAATAAGGAATTTTAAAGTTGTATTACAGGAATGTCGAGGAGATTTCCAAGTGTTCCTGTGGTGATCAGGTGTTCAATGCAGACCTGACATGATCAACTGAATGAAACAAGAAATCAGAGAGCCATCATGGCATGAATAAAAAAAGTGATTATCCTTCAATCTCTCACAAACACATTAGAGTCTGGACCGCTGTCAAACAGATGGTGTGTGTTTAGTCATGTTGCCAAATTCAAATTGATGTTGATGTTGTTCTTTTACACCTTGTGTTGTCCTCCACCACAGCTGTTTGATGCTGCTGTGTCAGACGTGTGATGGAGTAGTTCTGTGGTGACTACTTTTACACTCTGCTATGTATCTGAAATATCTGAAATGATTTAGAAGAACGCTGTGTGAATGTGTGTGGGTCATATTCATTGTTCCACCTCCTGTGAAAGACAGCATCCGATTAATATTAAAATTGCATTGTTTGTTCCGCAGTTGGTAGAGCAACATAAAGTTTGTAAAGCTTGTGTTTTCTCGCACCATATAGTGGACACAGGAAGTTGCGCAAGATGGGCAATATGTCAATTTCAGCCCTACACACTCTATTCAATTAGTAATGTTCACTTTTCATCCGGTCAACCACAGCAAAACCAGCATCCGGCCATTACCCCTAATTGCATGCAAGGTTGGGAGGGTCACTTTAAATATGTATTGCCAGTGAGCTGTAAAAAAAAAGAGTAATCAATAACCGAATCTGAGTATCATAATACAAAAGTAAATCAACCCCATTCATTTCTGTTATTTATGGATTACCTCAATGTTAAATGCAATGCAAATAAATACAATAGAAAATGCATATAAATAAGATGTATTGTGACAGAACAATGTTACCATAGAAAAGAAGAAACCAAGATATTTAAAGTAGGATCAAGAATGGTTTTATTGATAGGAAAACCTGTCTTTCATTCAGCATATCCAGGCAGTATATACACCAACACTGAAACACATGAGCACATACTACTGTATGGTTTAAAAAAGCAGAAATCAAATCTGAGCTGACAGAAAATGCTCCGTTTTAGTTTAATACACACAGTTAAGATCACACACACTATTTGATGAACATATAGGTTCACCTGCTGAATTAAAAACAGAACAAATGAAGCAAAGAAAGTGAAAACCATAAAGCAGATTCAGGCAGTAGGCACTTAGAGTATGAGCCTACAGCATAGTACAGCTTATGTTTAGTTTATGTCTGTAACAGTTCTCAAGTAACATAACACCTTTCTCCCAGTCTTTTTGGATCAACGTGGACCCACAAATAGGGCATTAGAGTAAA